TTCCTGCTCCTTCCTTGCAGAGCCCCAGGATTTATCCACGTCCCTGTTCCCTTCCTTCCCCGTCTCCCCACCCGGTTCTGCCCCCTGGTTTGCCCCTCTGGTGCCTGCCCCGCTCCCTGACAGCGCCAGCAGCTCTCCCTGCTGGGTCCTTGCGTGCCAAAGCCAGCATTGGATAATTGCTGGGTTGCACAGAGGCTGTAATTATTTCTGTTTCCCGACTGGAGGAGCAGGCAGCGCTTGCCAAGCGGCTCGGTAGCTGCTGGCAGATGCTCTGGGAGGGTATCCCTGCCCTGCCCACATCCTCCCTCTGGTGTGCCTTCGCTTCAGCTGCGAGCTGGCTCCCTCCCCTCATCCCCTCAGCGCTGCTGCCCTCATCCACCCTCAGCAAAGGGCGATTGCTCAGCCTTCAATCTTTTCCCTGCTATTTCTTTATTCTGTCTTTTCCCTGCTATTTTGTTGTTCCGTTGACTTCTGACAGGGAGCATGAGGGTCCCAGCAGCACTGCCTTGGGAGCACAGGGCATAGGACCAGGCTGTGAACCCTCTGCCAGGTCAATGGAGCAGCTCTGGTGATCAGGGGCTCTATCAGAGACATTGTTCTGGCATGAAGAACACAACGGGAGCAGATCCACAGTTGTTTTATTTTACTTTATTTAATTTTAATTATTATTTTGTACTATTGTTTAATTTTAATTATTATTTTATTTTTATTTATTTTGTTTTAATTTTTTATTTTACTATTTCATTTTCATTATTATCTTATTTTAGTTTATTTTATTTTAATTTACATTATTTATTTTATTTTATTTTATTTTAATTATTATTTTATACTATTATTTCATTTTAATGATTTTTTTTATTTCTATTTTGGTTTTGGTTTTGTTTTAATTTTTACTTTATTGTATTTTACTTTATTTTATTTTGATTTATTATTTCATTTTAATTATCTTATTTTAATTTGTTTTGATTTAATTATTACTTTATTTATTTTATTTTATTTTATTTATTTTATAATTTAATTGTAATTATTATGTTATTTTTTTTGTTTAATTTATTTTTTTGTTTTTTATTTTAATTTACTTTATACATTTTTAAAATTTATTTAATTTAAATTATTATTTTAAGCTATTTTTCATTTTAATTGTTATTTTTATTTTATTTTATTTTATTTTATTTTATTTTATTTTATTTTATTTTATTTTATTTTATTTTATTTTATTTTATTTTAATTTCAGTGTTCCTCCTCTGTGCAGTGCTGGGCCCAGCGGGTAACCTGGGGCCTCCCTGTGCAAGGTCGGCCCCTGTGCAGCCGGGTGGTCCCACAGGTCCCCCTGGCCTGGAAGGACCCTCAGGGGGTGGCACAAGGGTGAAAATGGGTTGCATCAAGGGGTCAGGGGTGTTGGGAGCAGGATGGGGGCCAGGCTCGGGCAGGAGAGGTGTCCTTGCTCCTCTAGACTCACCAACAGCCTCAGGGAGACTGAGTGCACTGAGAACCCTGTGCTGATCACCTGGGAGGATCAGCCCAGCTGTTCCCTCCTGCTTCAGACACTTTGTTCCGTTCTGCTCCCAAATGAGGTGAAAACCACAGTGGGAAACTGAAGTCCTTTGAGGTTCCTGAGCTGTCATTCCCCAGCTGGAGCAGCTGTGAGAAATGGTCCCTTGGCCTTGGCCACCTCTGCATGGCCACCTGCCGCCAGACAAGGACACTGTCAGGGAGATGCCCAGCACTGGGCTGCTCTGGTTGGGGCACACCCTGGGCCCACCAGTGTTGGTGTTTGCCCGCAGAGGCGAGGCTCTGCCCCTCCGAGCTGCCAGCGGCTCCTTCCTGAGCCTCTGTAGCTCTGAGAGACTCCTCTGGGGCTGCTCAGGGAGCTGTGGGCACAGCCCAAGGGCAGAGAGATTTGGGATCTGGGATCTGGGATCTGGGACTGGGCTCCAGAGTCCAAAGGCAGAGAGCTCTGGGATCTGGGATCTGGGCCTGGGCTCCAGAGAGCTCTGGGATCTGGGACCTGGGATCTGGGATCTGGGCCTGGGCTCCAGAGAG